CCCCGGGGGCGCTGCCGGCCGAGCCCGGCGCAGCTCCGCGGCCGTGGCGGTCGCGGATTATAAGGGACCGCTCTCTCCGCCCCCGGCGGAGTCTCCCTCCGCCCCCGCCCGCGCTCCCCACCCCTTCCTCCGGCCGCGGGGAGAAGGGCATGGAGTTGGCGGGAGCCTATAAAAGCCCCTGAGAGCGCGCCGGGGCCACGGCGCTGCGACAGCCTCCGCGGACGCAGCCGGGCCGCGCACCATGTCCCACCACTGGGGATACGGCAGCCAGGACGGTGAGTGCCCGCCGCGGCGCGGCGCGGCGCGGACACCTGCCGGCAGGTCCCCGGGAGCAGCGCCCGGGACGTGCCCGCTGCGCCTCGCACCGAGCCCCTGCCCGCGGCGGGAGTGAGCTCGGGGGCGCTTTTTTCTTTTTTTTTTTTTTTTTTTTTTTTCTTTTTTCTTGTAACCTTGAGATGCCACCTGCGCCTGAGCAGCGAGGCAGGCGCGCCGCGCGGTTTGCCTGGAGCATCTTCTGGTTTCCTGCTGCCGTTCCTTTACTTGGGTAACGGCGCGAGGAGGCGGGGAGGACGGGGCGCTGCTCCAGCAGGACGGGGTGCCCTCCTGAAGGACTCCCCGCTAAAACCCCGGCCTGTGCCTCCGAGGCTCGGGGGCTGCCGGGTCCCTGCCGCGGTCCCCGGGTGGGATTTCCCCTCGTCTGCCTTGCCAGCGCCGGCAGCCCGCACAAGACGGTCCAGTATTAGAGGCTGATGCGGGTGTTAAAACGTCGCGGTTTCTAGGGCGAGGGTTATCATTACCACTTACGTCCCCCGACCCTCGTGTCTTTTCCCACTGAGCTGCTTTACGCTGTCTTGCAGGACCCGCTCACTGGCACGAACACTTCCCCATCGCCAATGGAGAGCGCCAGTCCCCTATTGCCATTAGCAGCAAGTCCGCCAAGTACGACGCCGCGCTGAAGCCGCTCAGCTTCGGTTACGATGCCGGCACGGCTAGGAACATAGTCAACAACGGGCACTCCTTCAACGTGGAGTTTGATGACTCTTCCGACAAGTCAGGTGAGATCGCACCTTCGTGTGCACGGGTGGAGGTGGGAGAAGCTCCTCACGCTGCGACTAAAATGTCTGCTGGGGCCATGGGGGTCTTCTTTAAAGACAAAAAAATACCAGAGTGTTCTGGCGTCAGTAAGGTCAGGATTCAGCCCTGAAGGATTCGGCATCCCCCCTCCCCGGCTCCTTTAGGCTAGAAGGAAACTGAGCTCCCGTTAGAAGAAAACTAAGCCTATCTGGGCAGTTTTGAGCTGCCACTACTCTAAACTCCAGAAAAGTGAATTGCTTTATTTTTGTTTAAATCAGAAGGATTTGGATAAGGGCTCAGCTGTGGAGAGGAAAAAAAAAAGATTATTTGACAAGAACAATTTTAGGCATAGCTCATCATAAGCTACCAACCAAATGGTTAAAAGAAGCGGCAAAATACATCGTAGGAAGAAATTGGCCTTAGAATAACAAAGGATTACAGTTAACAATATGAAGTAGAAATAGTTTGGAAATAGTTTCTTTGGTTATCAAAATATTATTTCATATTTCTGAAGCCAATATGCTCCCAGCTTAGTGCAGAAACAGAGGAATTATTATGTTCTTTCATACTTTAAACAAGTATATCCCTGATATTTCTTGATGCTGGGCTTTCCAGATAAAGATAATGTATCTGACATATTCCTACAAAGTTTGCTAGCAGGCAGTGGTTTCACAGCGTCTTACTGTTCATCATACTGTACCGTGATATTAAGCACTGAATCCTGCAAACCTTTTTAGTAATCCTTACTGAAAGGAATGAGCGCATTGATGGACAGACCGCATCCAAGCCGCAGTTGCAACAAGGGGTTTGTAGGTTGTCTTTAACTGTAGTCTTTCAGCTGGCTGAATTTGCAGAAATCATCACCCTGCTACAATGAATGTGCCTCTATTTTTAATTTAGACAGCAAAAACAATCCCATTGTAAGTCACTGCCTTCTCTAGACACTGCCTGATTTAACTTGCTTGAGCAAGTGCCCTATTTTTTCCTAAGTGTTTCGTTGGCAATGTCATTTAGGGAATGGTGCTGAAAACAAATGATCCATGCCTACTAAAAATGTGAGGGGTTTGCAGGTAATATAACAGTATTACAGACATTCAGCATAGCACTAAGAATTTGACTTTGTATTTTAATTACAGTCTTTATACTGTACAATATTACGTGGTCAGCTATTAAGTGTTCACAGTCATATAAATACACATAGGTGTGTGTGTAATTTACACAGATCATCCACATTAATATTTGTATGGCTTAAAAAAAAAGAAAAGGAAAAAGGTATTCTGATTTCTTGTGGTCTTTACTTTTCTGAAGCACTGAGAACCTAAAGGAGCTGAATGCATGTTCATTTTAAGTGTCATGGGGAATAAGGTAAATGATTCAGAGTACAGAAAAAGAGATTGTGTTTTCACCAGATACACACGAGTCTGCTCTTGCTGTCATCCTGCTCTCACTGAGCCCAAAGGAAACAGGTTCAGGTCTTCACAGTCTAACAAAACTATTATGTGTTCACTTTGTGTGTGCCTAAGTTTGGAAAGACTGTGAAAATTAGGTTGTATTTAGTAACTTGGGAGGAAAAAATGCCAGGAACATATAATAATCTAAAGAAATGTCTGTAGGAAGAATGCTTTTTATGAGAAAAGTCAGTGCAGAACCAGAACATCTGTGACAGGGATCCTCTGACAGATACGCAGTGACACAGCTTTCAGAGTGGGAGGATAGGAGATGCAAGTAGAAATATTCTCAGTAGCTCTATTAGTGAATCAGAAACTGATTATTCTTTAGAAAAAAAAATTAAACAGATCTCTATGAAACCAGGTAAGGGTGGATCCTTCAGTATCACACTTCCTATTGAAAATTACAGTGCATAGAATCTACCTGGCAGCATGCTTAATGGCTTCATTTGTATGCAGTTAACTAGGTAACCTACTTTCCTTACACAAAATAGAGCTGTCTTTGACTTGACTGTGCTTGATTCACTCCTGTTTCTGAATTTGAGACTAGCTAATGTGTTCTTGGTTAGACATCACGCAACAGTCACAAGGAGAAACTATGTGAGATTATGTGATGTGGTGGTATGTTATACAGAAGAGAATGGAATAAAATCCTGTGAATACTTCCCACGGGCTCTGTTGCTGGCTCCTATGAGCTGTCCCATATGCAGTAATGAATTATCTGTGGTAGTAGGCGCAAAATGAAGTAATAAGATCATTGTTTGTGAATAATCTTCAGGATGTGAACAATTGCACACAAAGAAGTAGATCCATTCATTAAGAATCTTCCGGCTCGTAACTAATGACACTGAAGTAAATTGAACAGCAGTTCTAGGTATTAATGTCAGTTTGATGACTCCTGCTCTTTAAAATATGCAAAATGAGTTCTTGCAATAAAAAAATACAGGTAGTAATAGTATAGTAAAAATAGATAAGAAAGCTAAAATGCATGTTTGGCTAAAACTCTTTGAAAGTAGTTGTTACTTACTTCTTTGATTCAGAAAATATGTAATGTGATTATGGTTGATCGCAAGTAACAATAAGAAGTTATCAGAATACTCAAAATCTTGATGGAAAATATTTTTCGCCCAAGTAAAAGACTCTTCCCCCAAAATGTATGTGTGCTACATTACATGTGGGCATACAAGAATATGTAGTGTAAAGCTTCTGCCCATATCTGCGAAAAACTAAATATCTGAAAGAAAAAATAGGATTTCTTAAAATGATATCCCATCTATATTATTTAGCATAGTAAGGATGTAAAATGAAAGTTTAACTTTTTAAACAAAAATAGTCTATGTGCAATTTATGTGACTAATGTATCTTCAGAGAATAAAATGTTTTCTTTTCTGCTCTTAGAAGATCTCTTTACTAATAGGTACAGCTTTACAGACATAACTCTTGATTCACGTTGTAATTACGCCTATGACCTATACAGTTTTCTCTTACAATGATGTTTTAACAGAGAAATGATGTTAAAATCTTTGTGATAGCTTTAGAACCTGACTTTGGTTTACTTTCTTGTTAATTCTCTTAGATATGCTTAGATGTTACCAACCTTGCTCAGAAAAGCCCTCTTCCTAAGCAATTACCCCCAAATCTTCAGTTCCAGTTCTTATAGTACAGCCTTTGAATTTCTTGGGTTATGTGACAGCTGTTAAATTCCAGAATACACTTCTAAAGGCTCAGTCAATTCCCAAAGTGAATCCCCTTCATATTTCACAGTTACTAGTTGGCAGAAATGGTGTAGGGACAGAAAGGAAATTCACAAGCCAGCGTTGCCATGTTTATGAACATTTTTGTTTGCTGAAGTTCCATGATTTTCTCCTAGATAAAAGGGTATCTTCTGTCTTATTTCCTTGCAGTCTTTCAGAATGTTTGCTTGGACTTGCATGTAGAAAGCAAACAGTGAACTTCCTCTTCCAGTTGTTACTCCTTCAGTTCTTGCAGTTGCTTTTTTAGTTCTCATGTCCACTGTCTTTTAATAATAGTGAAAGTTCAAGCATTTGTAGGCATTCATCTTTAAAATTTCTATAACTTTAAATAGAAGCAAAACTTCATTATGATAAAGTGTCACTAGTACTAGAACTCCAAATTCAGGTTCATCCACTCTTGTATCCTGGGACCTGACCTTCCATGTATGAGTGAAGCAAATGGTGCTGGTTACTTAAATTATGATGATGCGCCTTATTTTAGGAACTTTGTAGCAAAGGAGTGTCTCATTAAGGGTACTTAATTTATCATATTAAACATTTTATATTATAGTCTGCTGTAAGGGCATGTATATCGTTTCACTCACTTTAAAAGACAGAAGTAAACAGTGACTTCTCAGAGCTGTAAAACCACAGGAAGTGACTTTGCTCCAGAAAGCCTCAAGAGCCCAAAAGAGGCTTTTGTAACATAATGTGTTCTCTATGTAAGTTTCCCAGAAAACGTTTCAGAATTCACGTAAAACCTGAAATTCAAATGGGGAGCGCTCACAGCAGTAGGCACTGTATTCTGTATTTTCTGATCATGTGTTTGATGAGCATATAAAAGGAAGAAGTCAATTGGCAATTAATTTATTCCGTAACGAGAATGTTAAAATATCATGTTTTAGCTGTAGAACCTGACAGAAGTGAATTGCAACTATGGTATAAGGCTTTAGAGACTTTCCTAAATGTACTGGTAATTTCTGCTTGTGGACGAGTCTCCTGTTTCCTTTTCCTTCCTTGCCGCTGAACTAGAGATAAAATTGAAATCCAAGACAGAGGTCCAAGTAAATCCGACATTTTTGCAAATATTAAATCATAGTAGAACTTCAAAATTACAAGGACACCTAGGGTAGTGAAAATACTGTATTGACCTTTATACTAGCACCCCTTGGGAGACTTTCAGTAGTTGTAATCAATTATATTACCCAATTCTTCCTATAATTGTAAATATTAATGAGGATGCTTCAGCTGTCTTGAATTATGACTCCCTGTAAACAAACCAATCTATTTTGTTACATTGGTTATTCAAGAAGCAGTGCATTAGCACTGCTTGGTTGGCAGTGAGTTACTCTGAAAGTTGTGCCACTGTTGCTGTTTTCCTACACTTCCACCTCAGCTGGTAAATGGGAGAGGAAACACGCAGGTCTGTTGTCTTTTAAGGCACAACTCTTAATCAAAGTCACTGCCACTGGTCTATTTTTAGGCTTCCCAGCTCCAGAGATATAACATTAGCTATGCCAGAAGGATATTGTGTGTTATCAGTATACAGGCATGGATTGAAGGTCCACAATGTGGTATAGTCTAAGCAATGTGTTGACCCTTTAGAATCATAAATCAGAGAACTGATTGCTTATAGCTTTAGGGGACTGTGTTCAGACACCTCCTTATGTGTCACAAACACTTTTGTGCACTGCTTGACCAGAAAGTCAGAGGTCCCAGAGGGTGTGTGATCATTAAGTCATTTATCTCGTGAACTGGGATCACCAGAAGCTGCAAAGCCTACGTAAGCAAGTGACTTGA